CTCGCTGGGGCGCAGAACCACTGCCCGGCAGGGCGCCGGCGCCTCGAGCTCTCACAGGTCCTGGGGGGGCGCAGGGCCGGGGTGGCCGCGGGGCGGCTCGGGCGGCGCTGCCGCAGAAAAGGAGTGGGGGGGGGCGAAGGGGGGCGAACGAGTCTCCCCACCCCCACACACACTCCTTCGCCCCCCTTCGTGCCCCCCTGTCCCTTCCTCCTGCGCCCCCCCCCCTCGTCTTCGGGACGAAGGGGGGCGAAAGAAGGTGGGAAGGGGAGGGGGAGGAAGAGCGGGAGGGAGGGGGTCACGGGGCGTCGGGCGGCGCTTCCGCAGGGAAGGATGCAGACGGTAAAATTCCAATATTGCCTTTCACTTTGCGACAGGAGCTTTGTGGTTACTTGAATCAGTGCCCTGAGCATATGCGAGGTTTGCACATGGGTTTCCATATTTTGGAGCCTGTTTGGATTACCTGTCGATCGCTGGGAAATAGTGTGATGAGTTGACATTGCTTGCGACTTCTCAGGGAGGAAGTTGGAGGGAGGAGGAGGAGGAGGAGGAGGAGGAGAAGGATGAGGAGGAGGAGGAGGAGGAGAACGAGGAGTAGGAGGAGGAGGAGGAGGAGGAGGAGGAGGAGGAGGAGAAGGGGGAGGAGGAGGAGGAGGAGGAGGAGGAGGAGGAGGAGGAGGAGGAGCACGCGGTCGACCACTGCAAGCTCAAGGCTCCGAGCGCACTAGGGACTGAAGAGCAGGGATTCAAGAAGCGGCGACGAGGACCCCGAAACAGCCCCGAAAAACGGACACCGCACCGCCCGACAAGGGACGCCCTACTACGCAGCCCCGATTGCTCCGAAGAGGAACCCTTGGGTCCGCAAGACGGTTCGCCCAAGCCGGGCCCGAAAAACGGCACGGCACAACGGCACAGCACGGCACGAGAAGACCAGCATTCCGAGCCGACTGGCGGTGCAGTGCGGCCTCAGACGGCCCAGCTCAGGAATCGGGCACACGAGGCTCTGCTTGAGGACAAAGCTGGTCCAGATGAAATTGCACATGGAATTTGTTATGGAAATGCGGGGAAAGGACAAATTACGCAGATCTGTCCGAAGAGCTCGGACGCCGGCCTGGTTGGAATACGCCCACTCTGGATGAGCTTCTCCAGCCGCTCAGTTCCCAAGGAATCTCGAACTCGCAAGCATGGCGAAAGTTGACAGCCTCTGCCTCTGGCTCTTGCTGCACCACAGTTGCGCCAGTAGAAGAATCATCCACAATCGCACCAACTCCACTTTCATGCAGAACTTCGGCTGCCGGCACTCGGGCTGAAGGGGCGCCAATTCCCTCAAACGCCGCGCCGTCGCCGCTTAGGAATCACGCTCTCGCTCTGGCCTTTCTCACGATGTACTTGGAAATCGCGCTATTGCTTGACACCTCGCGATTCATGCAGGACGCACGCTTCAGCAACCCGCCTGCTCGACCTGGCCGCTTGGGCCCGCCTTCCAGGCCCACCCGTTAGGGTCTACCTGCCCGATCTGCCCGTCTGGTTCTGCTACGTGTTTTCTGTTCTTAACCCCCCTCCTGCTAATCTTTGTCGTGCTACCAACTTTTCCCTCCCCATTCCACCCGTCCACTCTTCCCCTGTTTTAGGGGCTGCACGAAATACACGTTGCAAATCAGAAACACACATATATTGTCGAGGGTTTGGGCCCCCCCCCCGGCGCGATGCCCGCCCCCTGCGGGCGTGGGCGTGGCTCGGTGGCTCCCCCCCCCTGTGGATGTGGTGTGGGTGTGGTGTGTTGCTGTTGGTGTGTGCGGGGTGACGCCATGGTCCTCCTCCCCCCCTCCCTCCCCCCCTGTGGGTGCAGTGTGGGTGCGGCGTGTGGCTGGGATCGGCGTCATGTTGACAGCTCCGGTGCTCGACGTCGTCGCCACCGCCGCTGGTGGTGCCGTCGACGTCGACGTCGTCGTCGTCGTCGTCGTCGTCGTCGTCGTCGTCGTCTTCGTCGTCGTCGTCGTCGTCGTCGTCGTCGTCGTCGTTGTCGGTGTCGTCGTCGTCGCCGCCGTCGTCGTCGTCGTCGTCCTCCTCCTCCTCCTCCTCCTCCTCTTCTTCCTCTTCTTCTTCTTTTTCTTCTTCTTCTTTTTCCTCCTCCTCCTCCTCCTCCTCCTCCTCCTCCCCGTCCTCCTCGTCCTCCTCGTCCTCCTCGTCCTCCTCGTCCTCCTCCACCTCCTCCTCCTCCTCCTCCTGCTCCTCCATCCCATCTGGGGAGGGGGGGGGGACCCGAGGACCCTGAGACCCATCCCATCTGGCGGGGGGGGGCGTGGGCCCTGAGCCCGCGAATATATATATATATATATATATATATATATATATATACAAGACTGCATTGGCGCTTCGCGCCATGCACCTTGGTTCTTGAAGCTCGGCATGCAGGAGAGCCAAATATAGCGATGATTCATTGTTGCCGTTTGCGCCATCGTCGTTATAGTAATGTTATGTACTATCCTTATACTTCCTCTCCTCTTACTCGTAATCTTCCTTGTCTGCGAGCCACTCCTTGTCCTCATCCCCAGTTTTTATTGCAGGGGCTCCTCTTTGGAGGTGTTCTTGGGCCCCTCTCAAAAGCTTTTTGGGGACTTGCAAGGCGTCCAGGGGGCCCCAAAAGCGCCAGATCCCGGGGGTCCGATTTTCCAGGGGGGGGGTCCCACCTCCCCGGATTGTAAAAATATAGGAAAGGGAATATATATATATATATATATATATACATGTAAATATATGCACACACACACACACTCCCAGTGTGGGTACGATCGAAGACGAAAAGGCGGGTATCGGGCGTTTGGGATATACGTGTTGAATGGCACGCGAACAGATCGGGGCGACCAGTCTTAAACTGATTGTTGTAACTGTCGTTGCTGTTGCTGTTGCTGTTGCTGTTGTTGTTGCTGTTGCTGTTTTGTTTTCCTGCTGCTGTTGTGGTGGTTGTTGTTGTTGTTGTTTCTCACTACTGAACAATAATAATTGTTGATATCTCCCTTCGGTCGCATTTGTGTTTGTCATCAAAAAATACTACCCGTCCCAGGGCCGTCCCAGGGCTCGCACCCTGTTTGTCATCAAAAAAATATTCCTCCTCAGCGCCCCTGGCCCCTAGACTACAACAACAACGGCTCCCGCCTGATACGCCCTCGCAATTAACTGAGGAATCGCGCTCTCGCTAGGGACTTCCTTGCAATTTATCCAAGAATCGCGCTCTCGCCTGTGATTTCCTCGCAGTTTATTTAGGCGCCACGCACTCGCCCCATTCAGGAATCGCACTTCGCAATATCTTTGTTTAAGAATCGCGCTCTCGCCCGAGACTTCCTGGCGAATTATGCAGGACTCACACATTCGCGTAACATGCAAGTTTTTTGATTGACATATCCCTCCCGGGGCTCGCCGTTTTTTACTGGGGAAAATCTTCCTGCTCAAACTGAGCCCCTGGCCCCCGGTTTACAACAACAGCGGCTCTCGCCTGCTATTTCCCCATAACTTATTCCCAAATAGCGCTCTCGCGAAGGACTTCCTCATAAACAGTTTATTCAGACGCCACTCCCTCGACACTCAGGAATCACGCTCTCGCTGTGGATGTCTTCAATATTCATTGAGGAATCGCGCTATCGCTCGAGTATTCCTCGCGATCCATGCAGGACGCACGCTTCAGCAACCCGCCTGCTCGACCTGGCCGTCTAGGCCCGCCTTCCCGACCCGCCCGTTAGGGTCTACCCACCCGATCTGCCCGTCGGGTCCTGCCACGTGTTTTCTGCTCCTAGCCCCCCTCCTACTGTTTTCTCTCGTGCTCCATCTTCCTCCCTACCCCTTGTCCCTTCCTTCTATCCGTTTCTTTTTCCCTGCCTTAGGGGCTGCGCAAAATACACACGCTGCAGGTAAGAGAGATACACCCCGAAGGAGGTACGATCAAAGACGAAGAAGGCGGGTATCGAAGGTTTGGGATAAACGTGTTGAGTGGCACGCGAGCAGGGAAGAGCGAACAGTCTTAAAATGATTGTTGCTGTTGGTGTTGTTATTGCTGCTGTTGTTGATGTTCTTGCTGCTAATGCTGTTGTGGTTGCTTATTCGTTTGATGTTTGTTTCAAGATGCCCTCGTCGAACCTCTGGAGGCATCTGGTGGGACTTCCAGAGAGCCCTCGGGGACCTCCGGAGACCCGGGAGCCTGGGAAACCTACAGAGACACCCAGAGACCAAGATGGAGGAGGATCCTGCTCTTCCTCCTCCTCCTCCTCCTCCCTGGATCCGTCATCCTCCGTCCTTCTCCCTCCTGCTCCTATCCGTGTCCTCCTCCTCCTCCTCCTCCTCCTCCTCCTCCTCCTCCTCCTACTCCGCGAAGAGGAGCAGGAGGACGAGGAGGGTGAGCAGGAGGGAGATGAGGAGGAAAAGGGAGGAGGAGGGGGGACAGGCCGCGTCTTCGTCGAGAGAGGGGCAAGACAAACCACCGCGGTGCTTTCTCTTCTCATGACGCCCGCGCGGGGGTCCTCTTCGGAGGGGTCCAGGAGACCGCTCTCCACGGGGTCCTCCGCCTTCTCCTGCAGGTGGGGCGCGCGCCAGGAGATGGAGGGCGAGGTTGAGGCCGCCCGCGACGACGACAACGACAGCGAGAACGACGAGGACGGCCAGAAAGACGACGAGGGCGGCTGACGTCGACGTGACGACGACGACGACGACGACGACGACGACGACGACCACCATCTTGCGAACATGTGATCTAAAAAGCAAGTTTGACTGCATTCGTTTATCCCTCTCCCCTGCACCCGCCTGCTAAGTCTATGACCCCCCCTTCTCGGGATCTTCTTTTCATGCCAGCTTCTGGGAGAGAAACATTTAGCATTGCACTTGCACACCGCGCCGCCATGGCGATTGCGAGGAAGTCTCTGGAGAGAGCGCCATTCCTGAGTTTGGGCGCCCCTGGGGCGTGTCATAATAAATTGTGTGGAGGGATCGAGCGGCTGTCGTTCTCGTCGTAACTTGGCATCCGCCCACTTGAACGAGCTGCGAGGAAGTCTTGGGCTAGAGCGCCACTCCTGAGTGTGAGAATGCATATGATCAGGGCGCACGCGAGCAAATTACGAGGAAGTACCGAAAGTGGGCCGTTGTCGTCGCAGTTGGGCCTTCACCAACTTGACATAATTGCGAGGACGTCTCGGGCGATAACAAGTCAGGGGACCTCTGGCCAAGGCGCCTCGGAGTAAATTGCAGGGGCGTGTCGAACGGGAGCCGAACTGCGAGGACGTATCGGGCGACAGTGGCATTCCTGAGAGAAGGGGCGTCTCTGGCAAACGCGCCTCGGAGTAGAACGTGAGGAGTTATCGAAAGGGAACCGTTGTCGTCGCAGTTGCGCCTTCACCAACTTCACTGAATTGCGAAAAAGTCTCGTGCGAGAGCGCCGCGGGCGCATCTAATCAGGGCGCTTGGGAGTACCCTGAGAAGAAGTATCGAGCGGCAGCCGTTCTCGTCGTAGTTGGGCTCTCGTCAACCTAAACCGATTACGAGGAAGTCTCAGACGAGTGCGCCATTCCTGAGAGCGGGGGCGTCTTCTGACGAAAACGCCTCGTGGCAAGATGCGAGGAAACATCGCACAGGAGCCGTTGCCGTTCTAGTTGGGCTTTCACCAACTTGACATAACTGCGATGAGTTACAGTGGAGGCTAGTCCACAAGAAACCTTCCACAAGAACCCGTCCATTGATGGTGGGTGTGGGAACGTCACGGTTTCCATATCAAAACCATCGAAGCTCAAGAGACCCAGGGCACCTTGGAGGCAAGCAAGGTGTTCCTTGGATTTCCTTGGCGCATGAGTCTCCACTGTGTTGAGCGAAAAAGCCGGTCCTGAGCTTAGGGGCCTCTTTGGCCAAGGCGTCTCGGAGTACCTTGTGAGGAAGCATCGAGCGGGAACCATTGTCGTTGTATTCGGACCGTCAACAAGCCAGGCTGGGAAGCAAACCCGCGCTCGAGCAGCAACGTCGCTTTCACGGAACATGCAGTCGGCGTCGAAGCGAGCGCGCGGCCGGAACCGTTTCCATAGATCAGCAACAATGATCCTGGAGGCCTCCTACATGGGGTCCGAATGAATTTCCTGCGGCCGGCGGGGGGGGGAAAAGTGCGAGGGGGCGGGCCTTCTCAGAAGGCTCGAACGTCCGCCGCCCTTCTGAACGGTTCTCTAAGCCTTCCCTGACGGACCGGTTGGTCACCTGAAAACTGGTTTAGAAGAACAAGCGGTTCCACTTGCATCCTGGGCCTCACCATGAGGCGATGCATTGCCACTCCATACGTTTCCCAACCGGCGCGCGCACAACAGGTGATCCACAGACGGGTGGGTCACCAGAACAATGGTTGAATCGAACAATTGCTTCACTTGCAGTCTGGGCCTCAACGTGAGGCGAATCATTGCCGTTCAATACGTTTCCCATACGGCGCGCGCACAACAGGAGACCCACGGACGGGTGGATCACCAGATAACTGGTTGAGAAAAACCAGCTGTTTCACTTTCATTCTGGGCCTCAACATGAGGCGATGCACTGCCACTCAATACGTTTCCTATACGGCGCGCGCACAAGAAGTGACCCACGGACGGGTGGGTCACCGGAAAACTGGTTGAGAACAGCAATTCATTTCACTTGCATTCTGGGCCTCACCTGGTAGTCAATGGTTGTAGTAATGGTTGCACTGCTGGCTCGTCTTCGTCGTATCCTGCTTCGACGTCGTCGTTTCCTTCTTCGTCCCCCGTCCTTTTGCTCTTCCTGCTCACCCTGTTCCTCCTCCTCCTCCTCCTCGTCCTCCTCCTCGTCCTCCTCCTCCTCCTCCCCACCTCCCTCCCTCTCTCCATCCCTCCCTCCCTTCCTGCTCCTGCTCCTCATCCACTTCCTCCCTTGTGCTGCCCCCCAGGGGCCTCTTAAAGAGTCCCCGGAAGCCCCCCTGGAGCCCAAAGGCTCCCAAAGACTCGCTGAAAGCTCCGCCGAGGCCCCCAGAAGCTCCCCGGAGGCAACCCATAAGCTCCTCAAGGGCGCCCCAGAGATTCCCAGAGGCTCCGCTGAGGCTCCTCACGACCCTCCCTGAATCCTCTCAGGAGCTTCTGAGCTTCTCCGAAGATCTCCATGTCTCTCTTGGATTCCTGTGGATTCCTGGGGCATCCTGGGCAGCGCAGGCGGGCACGCCTCCAATTTGGGTGTAAAGCCGCAACTTGGAAATATTGTTATTCCGAGTGCCTGCGGCGGAGCCTGGAGTGATGGAGGGTCGGCATTTAACTTGAACGAGACTCCCCAGAATATCTGCGAAACAAATTAGAACGAACCCGGGTCAAATAACGCGAGCGCCATCTCGTAGAAAACCTCTCAGAGGACGGAGGGCTTTCGAGAAGCCCCGCCGCCCTGTGAGAGGGCCTTCTCCTTCTCACTTCCCCCCCTCGCTCGCCGCGGAGATTGGGTCGGAGGATCGCCGACGCATCGGCGATGCATCGCCGACGCATCGGCAGTGTATCGGCGGCGTCGGCGACGCATCGCCGCCGTCGGCGTGAAACAAAAACGGTCGCCGATGCGTCGGGGGTGCGGCGCGATCCTCCGACCCCATCTGCTAGGACCCCCATCAGGGGAGGCCCGGGTGTGCCCTAGAAGTGAATATTCAGTGAGGGAAAAAGCAACGCACCACCACCACCACCTGGAGGGTGGAGGCAAAGGGCGGTCAGGGGCGGCGGTGGTGCATGTCGTTTCGGGCGCTTTCGCGGGACACCGTGGACACCCGCATCCCGCACACACACCCAAGTGGTGGTGGTGGTGGTGGTGATGGGGGCAGTGGTGGTGCGCTTCCTGCTCCCCATCGGCGAGGACGGTGCAGACAGTGCAAAGGGGGGCCGACGGGCAGCCTGCCAAGCGAACCTCTCGGCAGGCGCCCGACGGCGCATGCGCCGTGGCCGCCCAGTTCAACCACGCCCGCGCAGGGTGTCTGCCCCCTCGACACGCAAACGGTGAGTACTCAGCGATGACGAGGACGCGAGAACGACGAGGACAAGGACGAGGACGAGGACGACCACCGCGACGACCATCGCGACGACGACGACGACAACGACGATGACCACGACGGCGACGATGATAACGACGACGACGGCGACGACGACGACGACCACGACACGACGACCACGACCACGACGACGAGGACGAGGACGAGGACGAGGACGCGGACGAGGAAAGTCAGGGGGCGCCGAGCGTGCGGGGAGCCGACGGTGCGGGAAGGGTCTGCGGCGGCGGCACCGGCACCCGCTCTGGAAGGCACCCCGCGTCCTCCTCCTCCCCCTCCGCCCCTCCTCCTTCCCTCTTCGCCCTCCTTCCCCCTCGCCCTTCCCCTCCTCCTCCTCCTCCTCCTCCTCCTTCCTCTTCCTTCTCCTCCTCCTCCTCCTTGTTCCTTCCTCCTCGTTCTCCTCCTCCTCCTCCTCCCCCACGTTCCTCCTCTTTGGGTCGAGAAGTTCGGGGGCCCGCGCCTCGCCAGAGTGGAGCACTTTTTCCAGCAGCGAGCGAGGGGGAAGTGGGCGGGACAAGAGGCCCTCTGAGAAGGCGGCGGGTCTTCTCAGAAGCGCTCCAGCCTTGTCAGAAATCGAGTGCGTCTTCGGGGGAGGCTTAGAACATTTCTCAGAGGGCCGGGGGAATTCCGTACCTGGGCGCTGCACTGGCACGGGTAGAGAACACATTATCATGCCACAGGCGACAAGATCATAATAATAATACAAATACTAATAATAATAAAACTAGTAGTAGTAATAGTAGTAGTAGTAGTAGTAGTAGTAGTAGTAGTAGTAGTAGTAATAATAAAACTATTAATAATAATATTAATAATAATAATATTAATAATAATAGTAATAATAATGAGAATAATACAAATAATACAAATAATAGTAATAACAATAATATCAACAATAATAATGATTGCCAGCTGGATTGCACGAGCCTCGAGCGCCGGGCGAGCAGACGAGAGGGAAGCCAACCGAGTTGCCACGGAGAGCTCTCATCACGAAAAACAGGCCTGACGGAAAAAAGAAAAAACGGGTTGGGCTGGCTGGCCACATGACAATGGAAACTGCGCAATAGCACCTTCTGCCTCCCCGTTCCCGGTCTACGGAGCAGGCAACCGCATCCAGATTCTCACTACCCGGGCGCTGCACTGGCCCGGGTAGAGCACATCATTTCATGCCACAGGCGACAGGATCCGAATACTAATGGTTGCCAACAGGATTGCACGAGCCTCGAGCGCTGGGCGAGCAGACGAGAGGGGAGCCAACCGAGTTGCCACGGAGAGCTCTCATCACAAAAAACAGGCCCACAGCCCATCATATGGAACGTGGGGATCGGTGGGCGGGTGCATGTAAATTGGCGTGAGTTTAACAAGCGCTGAGCACAAACAGAGCTGAGCAACTGAAGAAGCACGATCTCACGGATGCCGTCACTCCAACGGAGCCGAAGGAGCGATGGGGGCCTGTGCAGGAGCGCGGCGCCGCGGCGCTGCTGGAGTCTCGAGGGCTTCCGAGCCCAGCGCAGGACGCGCCCC